CGTACAACCGGGTAGTGGGCAGGTTCTTCGGTGGAGGAACACGAGTTCTACTGGAACAACTATCGCGTGGAAACGAGGGATGAACGCAAATTTAGGAAGGCGTGGTGCACCACTGAATAAGCCACCAAAACACACACTGAAACTCACCCCATTTATCAACCGCTAAGACAGAAGTCCAAGTTCCCTAAACGGAGCAAGCAACCAGACGGGGAGCTCGTAGAAGAAATAGATAGGATCCAAACGGAGACGTCACTTATGTTGGAGGCAGTAAACGAGAGTACCAACTTAACCAACGGACGCAAAGATGCCATTCAATGCAATGAAAAACGTGGACTAATGCAGCTAGCCAATCACACTTGAGAAAGTAAAATAATCAGGCCACAGCGCAGTACATATCGAGAAAAAAGCCAATCAGAACGAGGAGGTAAACTACAAGAGACAGAAAGCTTAGGAATGACCAATCAACTTGAAGGAACGCAAACCACAACGCAACAAAGGTCACCAATGGACTGCAACGGACTAGGACCTTACCAGCGCGTTCGAACAAATTAACAAGCAAAGTAACCAATACAAAATCACAAAATCACAATAAGAAAAGAATGAGTAGTCAAACGAGAACTCACGAATGCGTAGATCCAATAATCCATTACACCGATCCAAATGCAGTAACCGGCTGTGGAAGGAAATATTCACTCGTAGAAATTTCCCACGGATGGTTCACGCATGAGTGATATATTCCACAATGGGAAAGTTATTGACGGCTAAAAATGCCACGGGGATTTATTGTGACGTTCAACATTTGATGCAAACACAGAGAACCAGTCCCACTGGTCAGTAAACAGTCCAACGGAGCGTAAATACACTCGTCCAGCAAGAAGTCAGCAGGTCACACCGAAAAATTATCTATTCGTAACATTAAAAAACGTCATGATGAAATATGTACGAAAGTTACAAAGTGTAGTTCAAGTTCTGGAAAGTGGTAAATATGTGACAACGGATTACAGACACTACAGGACCGATAAATTCACGGAAAATGCTGTCAGCTAGAGAATCCATAGGGCCGTTAACAACTACAAACTAGCCAGTCACGTTAGGGGATGACAAATTGCCTTTAAATGCTATACTAACGCAAGAAAGCGAACAGGAGGTACTCAACGAACTGCTTGCCAGCGATATCTCCTCGTATGGTTTGCAAGTCAGTTGCCAAGTTCGGCGAACAAATCAACAACCACTTGATCAACAACCAAGGAAAACAAGTTTATTTCCGTGGCTCGGTTAGGGAGACTCTGGTAATGAAGCTGTTTCCTTACCCGGTTGTGAGCACTCTGTCATGTAAGAACTTAGATCCATACCCAACCTATTTCATCAGATAGCTTACGGAGTAAAACCTCAAATTTGGGGAGTAGATAAAGACTTCGGGCTCACTCTGAATAATAACGTAAGCGTTTGCAAGATCTACTCGTAGCGCCCAGCGTACAAGGGCTGTGCATAAAGAAACAAAATTATTGTTACAGGACAATCTCAATTACGCGGTAGCCCCTTCCCAAAATGCAGGAACTATTTGCAACTCTGTTCCCTCGACATCCCTTATCCGGATACGGCGATAATATTGTCCGAGCCTGGTCGTTGGCTAGACCTTTCGAATGCTGTCAGGCCGCTCCATGATCTTCTTTACGGCAGATGGGGAAGAAAAGGTGGCTAGAAGCCCAGTCGTTCGTTCCCTTCACTTTTGGCGTAACCATTCTGCTTGAAAAGATTGGAGATCAGGCTTGGTAAGGACACTACCAAGGAGGGACTGTGCCAGCTTTTTGGCGTAATTTTTCTGTAGAATGACCCCCAGATTTTCAATCAGCAAAGGGGATCGGATTTCGGGTTTGGTTGCTCTCTTCTTAGCTGAGATATGCATTGCACCCTTAAAGTAGAGGCCATTGGTCAGACGAATGGGGCTGGAAAGTTGGCCGATTGGCTTACCTGGTCGCCTATAAACCAGTGCATTTAAACTGCCACCAGTCCTTGCAGTTCTGGCATTGCATACCGGTCTTGGGTTCGACGGACAGCCACTTCGCCACAGCTGCTGTGGTCTAGCGATGGCTGCAAGGGCCTGTCTAGTAGCGGACTTAGGACTTTATGAGCGTGTTCGATCAAAAAGCGAGCAAGCAAATACAAACTAACATATTCACAACAGGAATGAGTGAGTAGTCAAACGAGAACTCACGAATGCGTAGATCCAATAATCCATTACACCGATCCAAATGCAGTAACCGGCTGTGGAAATATTCACTCATCACAATAAGAAAAGAATGAGTAGTCAAACGAGAACTCACGAATGCGTAGATCCAATAATCCATTACACCGATCCAAATGCAGTAACCGGCTGTGGAAGGAAATATTCACTCGTAGAAATTTCCCACGGATGGTTCACGCATGAGTGATATATTCCACAATGGGAAAGTTATTGACGGCTAAAAATGCCACGGGGATTTATTGTGACGTTCAACATTTGATGCAAACACAGAGAACCAGTCCCACTGGTCAGTAAACAGTCCAACGGAGCGTAAATACACTCGTCCAGCAAGAAGTCAGCAGGTCACACCGAAAAATTATCTATTCGTAACATTAAAAAACGTCATGATGAAATATGTACGAAAGTTACAAAGTGTAGTTCAAGTTCTGGAAAGTGGTAAATATGTGACAACGGATTACAGACACTACAGGACCGATAAATTCACGGAAAATGCTGTCAGCTAGAGAATCCATAGGGCCGTTAACAACTACAAACTAGCCAGTCACGTTAGGGGATGACAAATTGCCTTTAAATGCTATACTAACGCAAGAAAGCGAACAGGAGGTACTCAACGAACTGCTTGCCAGCGATATCTCCTCGTATGGTTTGCAAGTCAGTTGCCAAGTTCGGCGAACAAATCAACAACCACTTGATCAACAACCAAGGAAAACAAGTTTATTTCCGTGGCTCGGTTAGGGAGGCTCTGGGAATGAAGCTGTTTCCTTACCCGGTTGTGAGCACTCTGTCATGTAAGGACTTAGATCCATACACAACCTATTTCATCAGATAGCTTACGGAGTAAAACCTCAAATTTGGGGAGTAGATAAAGACTTCGGGCTCACTCTGAATAATAACGTAAGCGTTTGCAAGATCTACTCGTAGCGCCCAGCGTACAAGGGCTGTGCATAAAGAAACAAAATTATTGTTACAGGACAATCTCAATTACGCGGTAGCCCCTTCCCAAAATGCAGGAACTATTTGCAACTCTGTTCCCTCGACATCCCTTATCCGGATACGGCGCTAATATTGTCCGACAAAAGCCACTACATAAAAACGAGTCAACGCCTGCTACCCCCGATGCTTACGGCAGTAGTAACTTGAAATTCGCCCTCAAACTACATTCACGGATTCACGGATCCACGGATTGATACACAGGATCGAGGCTTTTGCCCAGGTTTCCCGGGTCGGTTTTGTTCTTTTCGGTCAGTGGTTGTCGTTCACCTGAAAGGCATAAGTGAAAAAAGGGTGTAGCTCTGCTCTTTATGTTCTCAGCGCGGAGCGGTATGCTTGCCAGCGCGACGATTCGCATAAATAAATGTCTAACAGTGCTTCAAATTGGGTTCTAGAAGGAGCGTGTACAACCGTCGGAGGAAGGTCATTCCACGCAGCTACTACCCGAAATGGAAAAAT